ACTCGGATGTAAACAAACAGTTCGAGCCTGTATGCAAGTTCAAGAACTTTCAAATATTTCTATAGGTACAAGCAAATACTCAATTAAACGTGCTGTACCTGAACATGAACAAGAGCCGTGAGCTTTTCGCAACAGTGTGAGGTTTTGCCGCGATGGTACAGCTGACAACTACTAGCATTCTAACCAGCACTTCCTGATTATCGGCCGGTGAAACACTTTACAATTAGATGCCATTAAAGAAACAGGATCCACAGGCTGCCAGACCACTTTTAGACTGCATCAGTGACATAAAATCGTGGATGTAACGGAACTTTCTGCACCTCAACCAGGAAAAATCGGAAGTTATGGTTTGTGGCCCTAGCTCTCTAAATTCTTCTTTTCCTGTGGACCTGGGTTCACTAAATCATTTAGTGAAGCCAGCTGTTACAAACTTAGGTGTCAATATGAACCCTGATCTAAAATTTGATCGGCAAATTGGTGCTGTTGTAAAATGTAGTTTTTTTTCCAGCTAAGACAACTGGCCAAAATTAAGCCTTATTTTGTCAATGGAACACTTAAAAACTGTCATACATTCATTTGTGACGACTAGATTGGACTATTGTAATGCACTTTATGTTGGTGTCAGCCAAAATGCACTTCACAGTTTGCAATGGGTCCAAAACTCAGCGACTCGACTTTTAACTTGGAACATGGAAACACGAGTCTCGAGAGCATCTCACCTATTTTAGCCTCTCTATTGGCTCCTAGTGTCTTTTAGAGTTGATTTTAAAATTATTTTATTTACTTTTTAGTGTTTGCATGGCCTAGTGCCCTCCTACCTCACTGACCTGATCCACCCTTACGCCCCCTCTCGCACTCTCAGGTCAGCGGACCAGCTCCAACTTGATGTCTCAAAGATTAATGTCGACTGTGAAACCAGTTGCCATTAAAAATTAGACAGGCCGAGTCTGTACGTGTTTTTAAATCACTCCTAAAAATGCACCTTTTTTCATTTTCCTTTAACAAGTGACATGTACATTTCTTGTTGTGGATATTGTATTGTTTTCTATATTTTTAGTAGTTATATTGTGTTTGTATTGTGTATTGTGTTGTACTGCGATTGTCATTGTCTATCCTGTGTTTGTGTACAGCACTTTGGCCAGTTGTAAAGTTTTTAAAGCACTTTTATAAATAAACTTGGTATGGTAGGTGCAGACAGTACACAGACTTATCATGACTTACAAAAATGAAGTCTCTTTGGAAAATTCACTCAACTTTTCATTCTGATTATGTTGTTTATGTCTACTATTCACCCTAATTAGACTGCTTTGAGTAAACATAGACGAGCCCTCATTAAAACGTCTCCTTTGGGATAAATTAAGTTATTGATTGACTAGATTGCTTGTCTTGTAAGACTTGATAACAACATTGCGTTGATATACAGTATTTTCAAAACATTTTGGCCATCATCATCTTTTAAATTCAAAGTCCAAAATACCTAAAAGAGGAATTTTTAGATCTGCGTTAATCTGAGATGTTGCAGGAAGTTTCTGCTGTGGGCCTCTGCAGACAGCGCAGCTCAGACTCAGATTGAATGACAACGATCATGAGGCCCAGGACTGAACTCGTCTCCGCCCACTTTGGGAAATACCCCGTGGCCATTCGAGGTATCCGATCCTGCCCTCCCCGCTACCATGGCAACCTACCAGGCCCATTGCATTCTGGGGGATTATCTTCAGGAAGAGGTTTGTGTTTGCACAGATGTTAATCGGGCATAATAAACCCGTATGGATGAAATTTAAGGCGGTAGCTCTGTACATTGTGAGGATATAAGTAGCTTAAGGGACAGTTTCACAGACCATTTGTAACTGTGTGAATATCCGAGAGCTGTCACTGGGCTTAAAGGGTTACATTATATTATGTGAAGTACTATTAAAAACGTATCCATAGCCATAGTATTGTTTTATAGCCAACGTGAGCTACCATACGTGCTGTTAGGGCTCAGGGCTGTATGATTTGATCAAAACTATACTACCTGTCAAAAGTTTTAGAACACTTCTCTTTTTCCAGTTTTTTTTTTACTGGTTACTATTTACTGTTGGCCAAAAGATATTATAAACTTTTGATTCATGAAAGTGTCCACCCTTGGCAGATAAAACAGCTGAATACACTTGTGGCTCATTCTTTTCTACAAAAAATCTAATATTCTTCAGAAAGTTCCTCCCAAGTCTGTAGCAGAAGTTCCCATAAATGTGTGGCACTTGTAGGTTGCTTGGCTTTCACTCTTCTGTCCAGTTCATCTCAAAGCAGCTAGATGGGGTTTAAGTCTGGAGAGTGTGCTGGACACTCCATGTTTTCAAGCTTTACCATCTTGTTCTTTTTTCCTGAGGTTGTTTTGGACTTGAATCTTTTTTTTTTAATACCTCTGGCTGTTCAGTTCTTACCTTTGCACAATTTCAAGCTCTTCACTGGACTTGCACGACTTTTGAATTGCAATAAATAACTGGAAAAATTGGGGTGTTCTAAAACTTTTGACCGGTAGTGTATAATGGAAACTTAATAAAAGTTTTTGTTCATGAGATACAAAGGATTCATTTTAGTTTTGCAGTTCACATTTCAGTCTTCCCGCAGTGTTAAAGGTGCATTGTGTAACTTTTTGGAAGAAGGGCCGTCACCTTCTTGTTTCGATGGAAATGTCATTGCTCTGCCTGGAATGAGTATGACATTAAACAGATCTACTTTACATTTATTCAATTACAGGTGGATTTATTGCTCAAAAATACCCAAAAGAGCGAGGCTGCCACTAATTTGGCCTGGCTTTGTCTCCATGATGATAGAAAGGTTTAATGCCATACTGCGAAACAATCCAGACAAAGGATGGAGAAAAGCATTTGGCGGACCTTCCAGCAGAAAAATTACAAAATGCTGCTTTAATGCTTCTGATGCTCCCAGTCATTAGTTTGAATAAGTCGACAATGACATATTAGTTGACACAGAGACTACTCAAAACTCATTACGTAATTTATGTTGTACTTTTTTGCTTTAAAGTTAAACTAAACTGAAGCCTTCCTCTACCCCACTATAAAACATTTTTATTGTGCTGCCTGTTGATTTTGTACATTAATTTTAATAGGCATGATGCTAAGGGGCAGAACTATTTTTGATTAATGGCTGTACTTATTAAACCTCTTTCTATTGGCCTCAGGGGGTGACACTGAATGATTTAGTGGTTTGTATATTGTGTTTGACATAGAAAGCCCTTCTGGTCATTTTTCATAGCTCAGAGTGAGGCACAAAGCTGACCTTGTGCCCTCGAGCTTTGGCCCTCTGAGAATTGAACTCTGACAAGACAGACAAGACACTCACCGCTTCAGTAACAGAGGGACTTCGGGTGAGAAGTAGAGGGGAACTTGGTAAAAATATGATCTAACTGTTTGAATAACCTAATTTAAAGCATGAGATAACCACTTTCAACTACTGTTAAAGGTGCACCTTGCAACTGTTCTGGTAGAGGGTCCGACACCTGCTTGTCTCCATGGAGATGTTATTGCTTTTCCTGGAATGTTCCATGGTATGACTTTAAACATTGCCAGCTACTATTTATTCATTACAGGTGTTTCTATTGCTCAAAAAAAAAAAAAAAAAAAAAGTAAAAATAACACTAATAATACTACTACTAATAATTGTTTAGTATAGTTAATAATACTAATACTAATGCTACTACTACTACTAATACTAATACTACTACTACTACTAATAATAATAATAATAGTAAATAGTTCCTTCTGTGAATAGGCATGGCTCTCCACAGATCTAAAATGTAATGTAGTGTAATTCTGTTCTGTTTAGCTGTGCATACGACTGAAAGGTTTTCATTTTTCATTCCACACTCTTCTCTCTCATTTAATGTCTCTCTCTCTCTTTTTTTATTTTATGATGATTATTTATGTTTTGATTAGTTTGTATTGTGATTTTAATGTATTTCTTACTCTGCCTTGCCTTTTCTTGTAGCGCTGTAACCTGCTTATGTCCCTTGTGACAGGCAGGTTGAATCTATACTGTGGAACATTTTAGACAAAGCAATAACATTTCCACATTTCCACAATCACTTTGAGGACCATCTACCACCCAAGTTACCCAGTGGACCTTTAAGACATTACTTCCACAACTGTGAAGCTAAATTAAACTTGATGTTCTGAAAAGCAACATAAAATCTGTAAACAATTGTCAAAGCTGTGGTTGCCATTATGTTTAATTTTTAATGTGTTTACCATTCATTTCTCTAAAACCCTCATCCAGACTGTCTAAGGACCCAATTTGCTGTTCCAAAGTTATAGCTTCTGGCATTTGTTTATTTAGCACCAACGCAAAGAGCCTGCTTCAACCTGAATAAAACAATAGCAAACACAGACACTGAATTACCAATTTAAAATATAGTATGAGGCAGCACAACTTTCCACATTTCTCCAAGTGCCTTATAATAGTGTGGAGACATGCCATGGGCCTGTCACTTGGGTGTACTAATGGGGTATTTTGTCCTCTCTCCAACATTTAGCAGCTCAGTATTTGGGGTTTTATTGTGAACTTAGCTGTCACTGCTGCACACACCAGGTTCAGCAGGGGGTGCGCAAACAGATTCAACCTATGACAGAAAATAATACGTGTTGTGTGACTCAAAAAGAATGTCATATTTACGTTTACAGCTGCACTGTGTAAGTGGGTCTGCCACCTGCTTGTCTCCATGGATCTTGGTGCTTTGCCTGGAATGTTCTGTATAATGGCATTAAAATGTCTATGTTGTGTTCATTAAATTAAAGCGATTATAACCCAAAAATGCATTCTTAATCACCTCTACACAGATCTGAGAGATAATTTGACCTGGTGGCATCAACCAGCTTGACTCCATCGAGCTAGAAGAGAGAGAGAAGCCTGGAATACCTGAAGTAGTGCTTTGTTTCATTGACACAAGTTAAACACACAAACTCTGCCTATTTACACTGACCCCCCTCAACCTAACAAGCTGCACCTGATTGTGGGCTCTCTTCTCTCCTCTCCACCCTGCGACCACAACTTTGTCTGCTTCCTGTTTTTAATAAATATCTATTTTTGTACTATTTTTAAACATGTGTGGACTCCATCTTGTCTGAAGCCGGAGCCAGTTCGTGACACATGGGGACTTGCCCAAGATCAAAACCCACATTTTTGCTGAAGCTAAAGTTTTGTTTTGGCAAATGGGTGCTCGTGGTTGATCTTTGTCTGTATTCTTTGTCTGGTAGGTGATAAGGATCATCAGTTTAGCATACTTTGGTAAGTAGTGGAGTTAGCTTGTGCTAACTACTTATTATTTGGGAGTTCCACATGTTTATTTGGTGAAGCTTTAACTTTTTATTGCTCATTTTGTTTCCATTTACATTTGGTATGCTCAGTTAGGTCCAGTTTTATATGGAAGGTCTTTAGTTTGTCGTGACCATTTGTTTAGCCTTTTGTTTTGGAGTCTCCTCCCAGTAGGCTTATCCCACAGGTTCTGCATAGAGAGCCTGTGTGGTTTGGGTTTATGTGGCTGTCAGTGTGGCTGGAGCTATATGCTCGGGTTCACGTCCGTGGGGTCCTGAGGGTGGCTGAATAGCAAGAGCCTTTCAGTCCCACTGGTGCAGTGGTTCTCCACTGGTGATTAAAATTCTCCCACCAGTACAGCATGAAGACTAGGGTCCAGGTAGACGGTGGGTCTATTGGAGCTAGTGGGGGATGTGACTCAAGTGGTTTGGCTATTGTGTTGTGTTGTGGAAGTAATCCACTGTGTTTTTGAACTCCAAATAACTTCACTAGAATCATTTGGACAATTTCAGCTCTGGAATTGACTACTGCACAAAAAGTTAAAAGGTAGTGGTTAAGTTGAAAACTACTGCTTCATGACATTACAAGGTGGAAAAGAGCGTTTTCAACTTTGGAGAATAAGACAGACTAGACAGACTAATAATTACTCAATTACACATGTGATTGAAACAAAACACAACCCCAAGTATGTTTTTGACAAGGTAACCACATTATAATATGGCTTAAAGCTCACAAAAATCTATTTTGATAATATAGGACCTTTATTTTGTTTTAAAGATCACTTCAGTACACAATTTCCCCAAAAATCTCTCACTATACAAACAAGACATGATGAACTGCATGTTGTTTTACAGAATCCAAAGTCAAGGAGAATATAGATCTACAAAGCCATCCCTTAAATCCTAACATGCTTGGACTACAGAGGAGGACACTTTGGTGGTTGCTGTTTTATTCAGCGTGTGATTTCTGATGCTTTAGATGTGCATCCTGTCTCAGCTGTCTGCTCTCACCAAAGCCTGTCAGTGGAGGTACACACAGGTTGTTTTCATCTCTTTGTACAATTCGACAGAGAGCTACTCGCTGTGGAGAGTCCAGCTCAAAACATCGGGTAGATTTCAAGAAAAACAATCTGACCACGTCTCCGGACAAGAAAGGCACTGTGCGAAAACTAAATCGGACAAAAATGTGACTCCAAACCAGGAATGAACAGGAAATTCCTATAGGTCTTGTCTGTTATTTTGGTGGATGATGTAAACAGCTAAGATAGGAGTATGGTGGGGCAGTGGTTGTGAACTGGCTGACTGCGGTTTGATCCCATTTCATTGTGAGACATCTTTTACAAAGTTAGTTTTCAAAAAGATTTTTCAACAAATTAACAAGTTTAAATTAATTGTTTGGCTTTAACTAGGCTGAACAGTGACATTAATTGAATTTAATTTACACATAAAAAGCTGAGAATGTGTAGGATAGGAACTAGAGCACTACCACCTCAATCAAAACAGTTGATTAAAATGCATAGTATGGAGTTCTTTGTAAAAAAAAACAAAAAAAAAAAAAACACCTTAAGATATCAGTTAAAAATTATGTCAGCCTTAAAGGGGCACTATGTAAAGGGGGAGGGGGGGGGAATAGCCTGAAAAAGATTTTAGGCTCTCCACAGATTTGGCATGTAACTTTGCAACTATACTTATCCACGTGAAAATAGGTATGTTTAATGCCAAACAGTGGAACATTCCAGGTAAATAAATAACAGCTCCATGCAGACTAGCAACTACTGGAAAACTTTACACCTCTACCAACTGTGTGTGTAGAGTGAATGCAGTAAGAGGTAATCATGACAGAGATCAGTCCAAAGTCCAAACCAACAACTGACTCATCAGCGACCTTTCCTGAATATCTCCATGAGACAAAGGTTGTACTATTGACTATTGATTTAATTGGGTTTTATTGCTAAAAGTGACAAAAACCGCAACACGGTGTCGACAACTTCATAGATAACGGCACGTAATCAAAAATCAAAATGCATTCTTACCTGGCTCTCTAGCAGAGATGTCCTTTGACACATGTTTGGCCAGTGAAGATAGCTGTGTCTGGAGGCTCTGTATCGCCCTCTGCATTTCTGTTAGATCTGCTCCATGACTTCCATTATTCTTCACCATGTCTTTAAGCCCTAAAATAGTTTTCTCCAATCTCGCCTTCACATTTTGGATATTTTCCGAAAGCCCATCCAATCTTCCGCACATGTTTTCTAAGGCCGACACACGATTATTGACCGTTGAAAGATCATCTGTAACTTTTTGGTTGTTCCTCTCACATTGTTCGAGTCTAGATGTCACCTGACTAGTCAATGGATCTTGCCCAGTGACAGGAGTTGTGTCATAGTTTTGCCTTGTGATACTACTCTGACCCAAATGACAGCAGGTTGAATTCAATGCATGAATATCATGGTTATTTTTGTTAATTTTGTCACTCAAGCCAGTAACAACTCCAGCTAAACTCTTTACATTGTCTTGTAAGTTAAGCAGTCCCTTCTGGAAGTCCACCACCATCTTGTTGTGTCTTTCATTGCTAGATTGCTGCCTTCCGATTACCCCTTCTAGATCTTTGACTTGTTCCGTGTTGACATGTACCTTGCGACTTAGGTTGTCCAATTCATTTCTATAGCGCTGTAGATCCTTCATAAAGTGTGTGAAACCAGTAGGGGGCGCTGCCGAGGAGGAGGATTCACTTTCAGCATTGCCAGAACCCACACATCCCGAAACACAAATCTCCCCAATTGCATTGATCTTGTCATCCAAAGTTTGAATCAGTACCTTGTTGTTGTTGACTTGCGTGTTCATTTCGTCCATAGAATCTCCTATGAGTGATTTGTTGCTGATCTCCACTAGCATATTCGTGAACTCATTCTCCATATTGTTCACACGTTCGTCTATCAACTGTCGAATTGCGGTAGCTTCTTCCGTGATGGTTCGCGTCAACTTTTCCTCGATGTAAAAGCAATGCGTTTCGGCGTTTTGTTCTGTGATGTTGACCCGTGCCTCCAACTCCTCGATCAACGTGTAAACATCACTGCTTCCATCTTGGCTGGACAGGTGCGCCAGTTCGTTGTCAATACGTACATTCAGTATTCGGTGGGCCTCTGCTATACGATCGATCTCCCTCCACAAGGCTTTATGGTCTTTGTCCTCGTCTTTAGCTCCTTCAGTTTGCCTTTGTGTTCTTACGGGTCCATCGTTCGCGGCCAGCTCTAAACGCAGTGCTCGTATCTCCTTCCTCAGATCAGCCTCTTTAACTTCTACAAGCCTGCCTATAGTCGTAGCTTGATCGTCACAAGTCTTCTGCACTGTTTGGATCTTGTCGTAACATGAGACTTGAAGCTTCACCAACTGTTCTTCCATGTTTTGATTCAACTCTTTCTTGAGTTTGTCGAGTTTTCGGTCAATGTAAGTTTGGACCACATCTATTTCAGGTATAGATGGCGTTTGGGCTTGCGATGCGTCCATAAGAACACGTAGCTGCCCCTCATGGCTAGAAACGGTTCCTTTTAAATCTTCCAATGCATCGTCTTTGCTTTTTAAGGCGTTGTTCATATCATCCAACCTTGCAACTATCTTCTCTATCGCCTTATCCCCAACCAGTCCTCCTCTGTTGGTCTGGTGTCCATCCAAAACTGCAGGACTCTCCTCTTGCGTTGGCGTAGTGGAGTTTTCAGGTGGTCGCATGTTGTTGAATAATGTTACTAGCATTTTTTTGGTGTCGTCCTCCAGGTTAGTTTTCAGATTGTTGGTCAGTCCCGTCAGAGTGGACTGAAGATCCAGAACGGTTTGAGACAAACGCTGAACCTCATCCTCCAAATGACGAACCTTATCTGGACCACCATGTCTCGTCTCCTGCTGGCCTGTTTCCCTGCGCTCTGTCCCTGCAATAACACAAGAGGTTAGTGCTGAGACTTTTGAATGGAGACTAGTTATCACATACTATATTGTACTATGACTGATTTGGTATGAAAGGGCTCAGAACAATATTATTAGGACCAAATGGATTTTCTTGTCTTTTTTCTTTTAGATTTTACGAAGACTGGTTTCTACACGTATATACACAGCTGCAGGTGAAGACCATTTAGGCTGTCATCTGGGACTGTGTTGCCAGATAAAATTGTATCCATCAGTCCATTTATCATTTTGAGAAGTGCTCCCCTTTTACTTTAAGGAAAAACAAGCTTTTTTTGCTCCTAAATGCTGTGCTTTTAGGACTGTCCTATAAGAAACACATCAACTGAAATGAATTTGCACAGAATTGTTAAATAGTTTGGCAGGGTTTGCCTACATTTGGAACGAGATTAGGAAAGGACGGCAAGAAAAGTTGCAGACTATCAAAACATCTGTCTGTAAGCTGATAATTACAATTCAAGTCACGCAAGAAACCTTGTTATCCTAATTTCAATAGTATGCTCTTCCACTTGCGACGTGTTTTATCCAAGGAGTACAAAGAAGTGTTTTGGACATGCAGATTAACTGAAGACTATATAAATAAATACAATTGATTAAATGGTCTTACTCTGTGTATGCCTGGGGTATGCTGGGTTTTGTGGTATCAAAGCCTGGGTCCCTGGGTGAGTTGGTTGATTCATCACTGGCTTCATGTCTTTACAGTCTTGACCTGTGAAACCAGGGCAACATCTCCACTCCAGATCAGTCACTCTCTTGAAGGCAATCTTGTAAGTCGGTCGGAAACGTGTTACGTATCTGTAAATAATAAACAAAAAGAAACACATTTTTAAAGAAATATAGATAGATGGGGGCTATTGGCCTAGCTTTGGGCGTTGTCTTTTTTTGCTTCCATTGAATCTGCTTGGCTGTAAGTGAAATCTTTTCTTTCCAGAGATGAAAATCAACTTGTCAACTACAGTTTATATTTCACTTATTTATTTGCACTAGCAGAGAACTTCTTGTTTCTTTGTAACTGAGCTGAAGTGGGAGACCCATATAGTGATTGGTTGGATCCTTTCCTGATTTAACGAAATTGATCCTAATGTTTTTTTCTTTTTTTTGTGTGTGTGATTGTGTCAATTGTATCAAATATTGAAATTTTAGTATAGCAAAAACACTACCTTAGATTGCTGCTCCTTGTGACTGGATTGTAAAAATAAATATTGGAAAAAAAGTCTGAAAATCTATCTAGACAGCCACTTATTATTCAACATTTATATACTATAAAAGCAGACAGTTCACTTTTTTCTTGCATGTGGTTCGAGCTTGTCTTAAAATGCTCAAAGAAAGACACACGGTTTCTGGATCTATATGATGCAATAGATTTGTAAGCTTCTTTACTTTTCCCCGCAGCAAGAAAAACTTCACATCTTTCAGACCAAGGCACTCAGCTCCCACAGAAACAATAGATGACCTCACTTCCCTGTAGACCGCTGATGTCAAGAAAAACATCTGGAACCTGGAGGAATGAAACTACGCACATCTCAGTCTGATAGCACACAGCAATGGCTCAACAATCACAAAAAACGTCAAGCAGAACTGTGGGGAATTAATCAACAACTCGGATGTTCTATACACTATCACCAGCAATTTTCTGTAGAGTGTGACAAAAATGACGTGAACTTGTTAAATTTTCTTTGTAATGAAAATCAGAGAAAACGCCAGGGGAAAATCCGAACTAAACTTTGATATATTTGACACACCCATAAGATGAGTTATGAAAAATAAAATAATAATGAACCCGAACTAAAAAGACTGAGCACTAAGTAAGAATCAAAGAGTAGAGATGTGGGTCTGCCACCTGCTTTTCTCCATATATATATCATTATATTGCTATGAGAGGAATGTTCCACAGTATGGCATTTTAAACAAGTAATGCCACCAGCCAAGGTTAGCAGTCAGATCTGTGGAGAGGAGAGCCGGCTCGCAGAAAGAATGCATGTTTTAACAATAAAGACACCTATGATTAATGGCATGCTGTGGGACATTCTAGAAAAGAGCAGGTGATGGACCCTCCATTAGAATTGTTTATAGTCAGAACTGTTGCAAAAAGAGCTGATTAAAAAAAACAAATCAGCAACAACAAATCAGCTGACTAATGTAACAAAAACAAAATACTTGGGCCATATTATTAGAAATGACTCCTGTGATGATGATGATGTCATCCAGGGTCAGTGTTGCTAACTGTATTCACAGGTGAATATGCTGGAACGCAAATTCCACATGTGTACAACTGACATCAAAACTACTCTTTTTAGATCATACTGTACCCCACTGTATACAGCTCACCTATGATGTAATTACATCAAAGCAAAATATAAATACGATTAAGGTGGCATATAATGATGCTGCTAAAGACTCCAAGGTGGGAAAGTGCTAGTGCTTTGTTTGTGACTGTAAATATTCCCACGTTCGAGCTTCTAATGAGAAACCTCTTGTATAAATTTATGTGTAGGTTAACTGAATCAAGAAATGGAATTATAACGTGCTTGACTGATATTAAGGAATGTGACACCCAATATTATTCTGTCATCTGGATACGTCGGAAGAGCCAGCTATATGTATTTTAAGTCTATCGGACCTTACATCATTAGGTGTATGTGTGTGTGTGCTGCTGGGTTTATATATGAATGTAGTGTATTGTAGGTGTGTGTCCTTCTGTGTACACTTTGGACCCTGAGTCTGTAAATAAACTTATTTGTATATATATTGCTAACCACTAAATAAGTGATATTTTTGCACTTTTGTGAGTCATTTAATATTTACCTGATTGGATTCATTATTGGGATACTGCCAAAACATACTGAGTCATCTACCCCAAACTGGGCACAGTGGATAGGAGCAGAAGCCTCAGAGGTCTACACAGATACACATACACTCACACACAGACATACACGTACACACACACACTAGTCTGAATGTTCTTTAAAAATACTTTTGAACTGTACTGTAAATGTGAAAAGTGAAACTGTCTGGAGTCTTGATGCCAGTTTTACTTTGGTGCAGAAATCCTTGCTCCTCTGGTGACCCCGGACTTTCCAGGAATCACTCCCACAGCTCACCGACTGAATCCTTCACCACACATACCACACGCCATTCTCAAACGTGTGGTTCATCCAACTTAGAAATTATAACTGTATGCAACACAACAACTTACACGTACACTCTTCTGTTACTCACCAAATTACTACTGTACATACTAATTGCTTCTACCTCAGGACAAGCTCATCAAAATACTATGGATCTATTCGGATTTGAGCTAAAAATAAACATTAGTATGACAACTGATGATGTTTTAAAGTATATATGATTTAGTATATGCTTAGAAGACGGCTTTATTACAAAAACTAAACATTTCTTGCCAACTGCTACATTCTCGATAGTTGTTACTCATCAAATGCAGTCAGTTACCTCATGGCCAGCCGAGTCACAGATGCATTGTTTGGCAACTTCTTCTTACGTCATAAAAATAAATCATTATTCTTCCATGCAAGCGTGTGCGTCATTATAGACACCATAAAAGAATATTAGTAAAATTTTAAAAATCTTGTTCAGTAAATGCTAAGATGGATTTTGACATTCAACGGTTTTGTTTTCGGATTTGTTTATTTGTTGGCAAAATAAATAAGGTTTAACATTTTCAGAAAAAGGAAAAATGAGAAAATAAATAACCTTTTAGTTCCAAGCGCAGGAATTGTGTAAAATTGTGAGAATGAGCCAAAGACACTAAACCTGCTATTGTTTAAAAGGTCTCTGTGAATCAAGTAATTTTATAGTGTTTTTGGCTGATTTCACACACATATGAAAACTGAGGCAAACTTGGACTAAACCCGGATTGTAGCAGACCTAAACAGGGACTAGAAGAGGACAAAACCAAGTCTACAACTAGACTGAATAAAGATCATGGGAAATTGGAAGTTGAACATTACCTCGAAAATATATTTCAATTTAATTGTCCAACCCAAATTAGAAACTGCATGATTTACTTCACTAGACAAAAGAAATTCAATAAGAGACATGAACATCAGATTACACTACACTTCAAAGTTGTTACTAATCAAATCACTACAACAGACACTAATTAATTACAGTTACAGCACTGGAATAGTTTATGAGTATATGTTTTTGATTATAGACACTATTTAGTCTTGCATTGTACATAATGTCGTACAGCCAATAATATCTGGTTTATTTCACAATTAACCACAATAAATATTAAAATTAAAATGCCTTACAATCATCTAAATTATATAGAGAGCAGTGCTGTTCATTGGGACAAAGACAGAAGGGAGGCGAGCTTCTGGTTACGGCTTGAAATTCCTTTAGATTAGGTTTCCAAATTTCTTAACGGGCGGAGCATAGTTTATTATTCTTATGTGCAATAAGCAGTGAGGCAGTAAAAGTGAAAATGGTCATCAATTAAATGCAGTGCACGACCCATAAGCCGCATATCTGCAGTAAGTTATACTCAAATGAGACTTGTACAGGATTTATCATTTGGCTGGACTTGAACCAGATCCAAAGAAACTAAAGCCTGCATAGTAAAAAGAGAGAAATATGGGAACACTGTCTGATAATGTGTTTCTACTGTATAACCCAGGTTTTAAAATGGAGTTATCTTTACCTGACTAAAGGAGTGCTACATCAGGAGTTTACTGGTTCAAATAGAGGAGAAAAGTATTTGTATAGTCAAAAAAACGTATCAAAAACCAGGCATAACCATGTAATAAGCAAGTCGTCATAGTTATGCTTTACACTTGTGTTGTGTTTTGCTCTGTGGTGGTAAGTTCCTTCTGTAGCCATAGTTGCCCCTGGGTAGACCAAAGAAAGCTGGTCTGTCAGTTTGCAGCATCTGCTGCTCTGATCACTCGCTGCGGTTACATGCGCGCACAAAATCGGATTATGGAGTTATACGATTATTAAAATGACACGTAAACAGCAAAATCATCTGGTTTCTTTCTGATTATGGTCCCTCTGATTACACACATTAGATTTTCACATGTCATTTAAATCAACTTAAAGGTCCAGAAATCAGATAATAATCCTTTTATTGTGCATGTAACCACAGAAACTCACACACCACATTCATACTAACCAAAAAAGGTAAAGTATCTTGCCCAAGGACACAACAACAGTATGCTCTGATCTGAGTGGGGTATATGCCGCAAAACTACAGGCTGGTGGACACATGCTCTAACCACTTGAAAGATTGCTCCTCAAAACAAGACAAAATTACAAGCGCAAACTGTGACATCAAACTGGTTTTATTTCTATAATCAGCTCTGAAGACTAATCACCAAGGGCAGAACTACAAGAACTACATAGAGTTGATTCTATATCATGCATAAACATCAGACAAACGATGCCTCACCAGGACCAAAACAGGATTATATTGAACTATTATAAAATTCCAGCACCATAAGTACATACACCAGTTGAATTATTCCTTTATTCTGGACTTAAATGTTTAGCTTGAGTTGCCCTCATCCAGTCCAGTGCTGGCTTGGCTAAAACATGATTGGACATTGTTTACTGTGACCATGAACACACAGCTCCTCTCTCTCCAAATATCTTTCCTTTTTAGGACACGTGAATGAATAAGAAACCTTGAATATTAATTATATAAAGCATTAAATAATAGCTCGGTTTATTCAGCAGACAGGCTAAAATTGGTCGTACATTTTCCCAAGACGACAGACTGAATAATTTTATAAGAACTATGTCTTTTTTAATTGAATTTTGTAAAAAATCTTAAGATAACCTACCTAAAATAGAAGGTAGCCAACTTTTTATGTGTTCTGAAGTGAACACAAAATTCCAATGTAGGTGATTGCTTTTACTATTACTACTTCTATTACATATACTACCACTGCCCTTTCACTATACTACTGTTTGTACTGCAACTCCCACAACTACCACTTCTATTCACTCCCCAAATTTACAACACCCACATGACAATAAAGGTTAAACAAAACCACTGTATTTCCCCATTCACTTGTAATTTGCAGTAACTCATTTACTCGACCCTAAACCAGGACAATAGAAGTCCCTTATGTGGACCTAGCTTGTATTCAACATTGTAACTACAGCACTAAAATACAGATGGGTCGTCTTGTAGGGTGTGTTTTGGAAGTTGTAGGTTTTTGATGTGATATTGTGTCCTGCCAAGATATGTGTGCTCATTTGCTTAGAACTTGCCCAGAAAAATCAGTCACAACAGGTATTTTATTTTTGACTGGGGGTTGGGTTTCCAAAATGTAAGCCAAATAATGAAAAATAATGCATGTCAAGTATTTTTCATTCTTGGCATTCTGACTTTCGAATATTGGACTGGCCCCCTGGATAATTTGTTATAGAAAGTAGCCAACGTTTTTCTGCTTTTGGGGTTACTATAAGATGTGTTCTTTTGTTTAAGTTTGTGCAATAGAGTGATCTTTACACTAGATGCCCTGCCAAACAAGACCCAGTTCCGTTTATCCAAGCTTTGGGCTGAGATGAACACAAGTTGTAACTACTGGCCTAAAAATAGTTTATTACAGTAGATCAGGGGTCTCCAACTTGTAGCTCGGGAGCTACCAGTAGCTCTCCACCCCCCTCCAAGTAACTCTCCAAAGGATTTCTGAATTATACATACTGTGCTGAATGTCAAATTTGATGGACTACCATTGTCATTTTGATGCCATTTTGATGCCTTTGTGCACCAAAAAATGAATTAATATTTACGTTTTATATGTATCTAACTGCTCACCATCTAAAGCTTTCCTATGCTCAATTTCTTGTGATCGTTAAAATTAGTAGCTCTTTGGTATTTTCTTTTTGTAAAGATACTGAGATAAAAAAGTTTGGAGATCTCTGCTATAGATATTGTCAATGTGTGTAGTAGGGGTTCTAGTAGCTCTTTTTTTTCTAATGTTTGGGGTTTAATCTGTATTTCTTTACATTTCTGTCATCCCATCATCATATACAAGTATATGAGGAGTATTTGTGTCTGATAACAAGTAATTTAGGCCTTTCAATTGTTTTCACTGGCACACTCACTTTCCCATAAAAATGAAAAAAAAAATTGTTGATTTTGGAAACTTTGACTTTTCTCCTAACACATATACCATTCTCTTTTTGTTATTTTAGCTTCGACTGTCGGAGGAACACCGAATCTCTCCCATCCTTCCTCCTCCGATGCCCTCTTCACCTCTCCTCCGCCCTCTCCTCTCCCCGGGATACTCACGTGACTTGCGGCTGGCACTCGGGGCGGTAGTCTGGGCACCGGGGCATCGCGGGCTCTTGGTACGTCTCCACGCCACTTTGCACGGCGCAGCTCACGTTTTTCTGAACCACATAAGCGCACCAGTTTCTGAAGAACAGGATGTTTTAGGATTAGGAAGGAATTATAAAAGAAACTCAACGTACTTTTGCAATTTCTCAACTTTTGGGGGTCAGTGTTGTGGTTTTACGCAATCCGACAGTGCGTGTTTTCATCGCTAATTTGAGCTAACAACTGAAAATACGAGATTAGCTGATGTTAGATTTGACTAGTAATCACACATTCCTGTTTTTATCTGCAGCTAATCACCTCAAGGGGTTAAAATTAAACACTAGGCCGATAACGCAAACCGCTGCATGATAAAGAAACCAGAACAAAACTTTGGATTTGTTGATTTTAACGGGGCAGCAGCGCAACAATTACGCGCCACAGAGTGCAAAAGCTAAAATGCTAATTAATGCCAGATGACTAGCGGAAATGTAACGCTATATTCTTACCTGTTTCTGTGTCTGTGCACGGCTCCAGTGTATGCGCTTCCCTGGAAGAGGTCATAGGACGATGGCGAGCCGTAAGACAGCTCCAAGTTGAAAAGCAAAGTGAAAAGTGCCCAGCAACGCCACCCGTCCATCTCTCCATATCTGTAAGTCATGCTCCTAACAAATAACTTAAATATCTAACTATAAACACTAGCCTAGTTTGTTATTTTCGTGCGTACAGCGTTCACGTATACCCAGCACGCATCGCTCCACTCCACTGTGGGATACTTCAATAATAAGTTGAAGTTTGGGGAAGTCCACTCCACATCCAGAGTTAACTCCCTTAAAGAATGACGTCTGGGGCCAGCGCACTCCCTCCCTCCATCCCTCCCTCCTCCGCCTCCCACAAGAGTTAAAGGATCAGAAAAAGAGGGAACAAAAGCACCCCCTTTCTCCAAAACTTTAAACAGCCTGGGGGTCGCCTTGCCTTTCCCCATCAAGTTTAAAGGGACTCATTAATTACTATTATGAAGTGGTTTGGGATACAACACATTGATCTTTGTCTGTCTGCCAGCAGCCGATAACTCGCACCTCTCCCTCTAATGATGTTAACAAGCTAAAGCCTTGTCTTTGTAAGTGTTGATTCTTCAGAGGTAATTTGCATGGAGGCACAGATTGCTTTGTGTAGTCTGTTCTTGTCTTTAGGCCTTTGTGAATTCCTCAGCAATGAAGAAACTCTAGTTATAAGCCAAAACGTAAATGGAAGAAATAGTTAGCCTACAGTTAGTAATTGTACTTCTACTCATGCAATATTGACTGCGTATCGAACCACTGCCATAACAGCAAGGTGAGGTAAGCTATACTACTACCAACTTTTGCTCATGGAGAAATGTTTAGAAATCAGTTGAAAGAGGAAAAAAATAAGGTGGAACTTGGGACTACACCCAGAACTTCAGTAATGTTGTAGTTGTAGTGTGGAGTTAATTAAAAATGTATACTACCTATTGTATGACTCCTGAGTTAAGGGTGCACTATGTAACTTTCCTGGTAGAGGGTCCACCCACCTCCTCTTCTATTTTACAAAGCATAGCATTAAAGTTTAGCCAGGCTAGCGCCACCTAGTGCCTCCGCTCAATTTCATTTCTCTCTCTCAGGTCAGGAATTGGAATACACTAGATGGTTTGCAAGAACCCCGGAAGTGCGAGTACGGGCAGCAGCCAATCAGCGAAGAGCCAGACATTCTGTGTTGGCAACGATTCCCAAGATTTAAAGCCGGAACAAAGAGAATGTTTGGTGAGTTTTATCAAGAGGAAAGACAATATTGCCCTTCTTCCAACGGGATTTGGGAAAAGCTTAATATACCAGTTAGCCCCATTAGCGGCGCATTACATACGTCATGACCAAATAGCAGCGATTGGTTAAAAAAAAAAAAGTACCCACCTACCATCGAGTGAACGAATTCTAATGCTGCGAGGTCAGATGGTTTCTATGAAATGAAACCGGCAGATGAATCAGGCTAATTAAAGTTATCCATCTTAGACTTAGATTTAGACTTAGACAAACTTTATGATCCACAAGGGAAATTATCTGGACACAGTAGCTCACAATATAATATAATAATAAAGAGTAAAAATATAAATGGGAATAACAAATTCTTAATAAATAGCAAAAAAAATAGCAAGAGACAGGTGGCAAATAAGGCATAATTATGTAAATCTATATGTACAAGACAAAATAAAATAGAAAAATAAATAATAAAATATAAAATTTCAGCTTTATACATGAAGCTGAAGGAAGACAAGTCAGTGAACCTCCCATCAGAAAACTTCTACCCATCTCCACTACAACTGTTGCCACTAATACTACAACTAATTGTTCTGCTACTACCAGTACTACTACTACTGCAACTACTATTACTACTACTACTACTACTACTACTACTGCAACACACTTTGCCAAAAATGCACCTGTACAAAATGAATGAGTTGCTTTCCATTTCTTTTATCCTAATATCCCAGAGACAGAATCGAAGTTGCACTTTACTTGCACAACAATTTCAATTTGCAACACTTCAGGGAGGAATCCAATTATGTTGTGTGTGAAAGAAGGTGAGGGATGTCAAATAAAATGGTGAAAAATTAGTTAGCTAGCAAGTATTGTTCCTAAAAAAGTCACTTTCACAGGACAGAAATGAACCTTTCCTGAAGAACTTTAGAATGAACTTGAGCTGTAACAGAACAAGTATAAAACCAGACAGACTTAGACCTGGACCACTATGGAACCTAATTTACAACTGAAGGATTATAAGGCCACATAGTAATATAAAAGAAAGTAATATGATTTAATGATTTAATGCTCTGTTGTCTAAATAAAGAGTGCTTTTTAATTATCATTAAGGTAACAGAATCAATATTGAGTATCAAGTCTAGGGAAGTACAAAAATGTAAAAATATCGAAATGTCGTACCTGATATATCACCATGTTTTACTAAATTATTTTGTTAGAGTGCTACAGTTTTGTTGCTTGTTTATGCGACACATTTGACATTTTCACTGTTTTGATGATTAAAATGTGCGTCTTTCATACTAGCATTGCATAACATTGTGGTTTAACAAAGACTTTTAGTATCACAGCCATGACTTAGCCAATATTTTTATTGAACCGTATCAAATTGATTTGAAATATATTGAATCAAATTGAAAGTGTACTGTACTGAGATATGTATCGTATCCTGGCCCATGTACCAAGGTATGTATCGTATCGGCAACTTCTTAATAATACCCAGCACTAATCGAGTCTGTTCCATAGTATCAAAATCATGTTCAGAATTTTAGTTTCTTAACAAGTCTAGTTATATTAGATCACAACTGAGGTTTCAATGTAAAATTATGACCTCCGTATGTGAAAAATAGAGTAATACGTCTTCTTTAGAGAGTAGAAATACAAATACAGAAATCCCACTACTGGAAAATGACTCACTTGTGATGTATAAAGGTACTGCAGGGAGGGAGGGAAGGAGGGAGGGGTGTGAATGGATGCGCAGATAGCAACTCCCGCCTTCAGCTTAGACAGCCTTTTTCTAGAACAGCAGAGATAGCCCTGCCTAAAATAAGCCTTCTTGTTCTTCTCTTCTCCGGGTCGGACAGGCGGGCCTCAGGATCGCTTACGTAACAAGTGATGGATGTGCAATGGGAGGCTAAATACTTACATTTTATCACCATGAGTCAGTCAGGAAATCATCAGCACGCACCCAGTGACATGTCAGTAGTGATGTCCTTATTTTTTGTGTCTTTGCCATCTTCAGTTATGTACTTAAAGGTGCATTGTGTAACTTTTCTGGTGAAGGGTCTGTCAAATGCTTTTCTCCATGGAGATGTTATTGCTTTGTCTGGAATGTTTCACAGTATGATATTAAACCTTTCTATCTTCATGGAGACCAAACCAGACCAAGTTACAGATCAGGCAACCTCGCTCACCATCAGAATGCCTGTTTTTCTAAGTATTTTGAGCTTTAAAACCACATGTAATTGAATAAACATAAGGTAGAGCTGTTTAATGTCATACTATGGAACATGCCAGAGTGAGCAATGGCATATCCATAGAAACAAACAGGTGATGGACCCCCAACCAAAAAGCTACACAATGTACTTTTAAGTTATACTTGAGTCAGTGTTAGTAAATTAACAATTTTACTGCTGTATTTTTAGGTTGTCACCTATATATCCAGCGGTTCTACAATCTCTATATTAAAAAATAAATAAATAAATATACTTATTTATATAAAAACATCCCAAAAATAAACTTTGTTAAGCTTTAAATAGTTTCAACTTGATTATATGAGTTTGAAGATCGTTTGACACACAAATCTCACAGCCTTAATCTAGCATAATGTTGTTGTTGTTGTTGTTTTTAAACCAGATGCCTTTCCAGACCCATCCTGCATCTTCAGTAATTATTTCTTAGGACAATGCATTGGCTTGCTAACCTATTATAATGTAAAGTGTAGTTTTAGAGTTGATACACTGCCAGTAGGAGCATCTTTGAGGTGCTGTAAACTGTGAGAAACCTCTCCCCTTGGATTAATTTAGTTTATCTTATCTTAAATGTCTTCACTATCTTTTAACACACTCCCGATTTGAAGAAACAAGCAGGCATCCGCAGGGAGTAAAGCATAAATTGCATATTATAGGGCAAGTGAAAAACTCAGATGAAAAATGCACTTAAGAAACAAATTAAGTTTCGGCAAATAACTCACACCTTTACTGCTAGTACTATTTTTCATTCACTCATGTATAAGAAAGTAAGTCAAATACCAGAGGTGGGACCAAGTCTCAAGTAAGGCTCAAGTCATTGATCCCAAGTCCAAGTCAAGTCCCAAGTCAAAGACAGGCAAGTCCAAGTCGAGTCTCAAGTCACTGGCCCATAAAGCCAACTCAAGTTCAAGTTGCTGCTTTGAGCTTCAAGTCACTTCAAGTCTTTAAACCAAGCTTAGATTTTTGCAGTTTATATGAATTTTAAACAAAATTATACTTCAAAGTCATGGATATATTTATATGTGAGTATTTATATATGAGTTGTAGAAATGCAATTTTTCCTTTTTAACATCTTGAAGATCTTAGTGTGAATCATTATGGTCAGAATTCAGATTTAAAAGTGCTTAATATCGTGTGTCTGCGGTGAAATGGAAGAATCATATTCTATGTAGTTCCCTCTGCGTACATTTGAGGATACCAACTCAGTCTTCAGTTCCATCCAAAGTACCAAACAGAAGTGGGAGGGACATGTTCCAGTTTGTTCCTCTAAAATTCATTACTGCATTTATCAACTGTAAAGAGAAAAAAATATTTTCTAAAAACATATATGTTTTTAGGAGAAGCATCAAGTCATCTCAAGTCACAGGTCTCAAGTCCAAATCATGTCCCAAGTCATTGATCTTCAAGTCCAAGTCGAGTCCCAAGTCTTAGTCCTTTTATCAAGTCAAGTCTCAAGTCCTAAAAATAGTGACTCAAGTCTGACTCGGGTCCAAATCATGACTTGCAAGTCCCACATCTGTTGAATACTAGTATCAGGAATGTTAAAGCAGCAGTACTTGCAGTAACCCTTGTATGAAGGGACTGGTTAAGGGCTTCAAGATTGAATGGACGCAATTAGCAAAAGACTGCAATTTTTGAAGTAAACAGCAACATATCCTGTCTTATTCTGCATAAAAAAAATAAATAAAAAATAAAAAATAAAATAAACTGCTAACCCTGTATTTTAGAG